ACCTTCCCCTAAAGTTTGGCACGTTACTTCTGGGACACCCTGTATATATATTAATAATTAATTATAATATATTAATTTTAAAAAATGCTTAATTTGGACTTTGACCTTTAATAATTGTTGTAGTTGTTGTTTCCCAAAAAAAAATATATATGTATATCGTTATGTTCACCTCGATCGTATTTTTTTTAATTCGAGAATTGTAGGTATTGTGCATTTGTTCCGTTTTTTGTTCAACGATTGTACAGAAAATTATAGCTGACCTTTATATGTACGTCTGCACACTCGAATGAGAGCTGGAAAACTATCGATGGCACTATCGATAGTATCGAGGGTTTTTGACTAACGAAAACATCGATGGTTTTGTAAGCATTATCGATAGTTTTCACTCAGGCATATATTATTCAGTAACATACATATTTCAGAACACAGATGCTACTTGAAACTAAAAATCGTTGATAAATTTTTTCCCATACACAAAAAAAGATCGTCATGTTTTAGCCATTCTGATCTCATTATCAATAAAAGTTGTATGCTTAATTTTTGGACTGTAACATCAGGTTTTTGAACCGAATTTCTAAAATAACCAAATTCTGATATAGGGCGTTTTCGAACTGGCTGCCGAAATATGTAGGTCGATCTTCCGCTCAGCCGTCGAACCACGACCATCGATAGTTTTCCAGCTCTAACTCGAATTGTCGCCATTTTAAGAACCTCTTTTTCATTCTCCGCTATATAACGGAATTTTACAAGTGTTATTTTCTTTCGTTAACATTCTTCTTTACGTTATATCAAAGTTGCCATCATTGAGCAGAATGTTCGTATTAAGTATAACTTAAGGCTTAAGGCTCAGTTATGCATACTTTGCACTGCATTGCATAGCATGTCATTTTACGTAGAAATCAAAAATCAACAGACTTTTAGATATGTAATGCTGTGCGTTGGTTAACCGCCTACACGCAAAGTTCATTTAACAGATTCCTTATGTGACAATTCTCATGCAATGCCAAGTATGCATAACTGAGCTTTTAGGCATATGGTGTTAACATACGTGCAAGCTAGTCAAATAATAGTATGCGACTAACATTCAATCCTGCGTTGAGTTGAATGCAAAGTTGAACAATGCAAACACGGCTTAAACGTCGCTCAACGTCGTTGAGCTGAAATAACATTGTCTTAGCAACACACAGTTTAGTTCCGCTTAGCTCAGCTTCCAAAGAAAATTTTTTTCGTTACCTGAACTCGAACGTTATGTGCTCAGCTTAAACAGCTGA